ACTCTCCACTCCACCCCCTCCCTCATCATTCATCCCACCAAAAAAAAGCCCTCCCCTCTCTCTCCCCTCCTCCCCTCCCCCAAAATCCAAAAAATCTCTCCCCCATACCCAAAACTACCCCCAAAAAAACAAAACAAAAAAATTGACCAGACTGGGGCACGATCCCAGGACCTTGTCCGTATAACAGCTGCTACTATTGATATAATAACAAATTGTTAAGGACACGTGATAACCAACTACACCATCCGGCCATTTAAATCTTAATGATTTCATGACGTTGCTGTTGCGATTTGGATTTATATTTTAAATTGGAAAAGTGTGAGGTGGTGGTTGTGAGGGTTTAATTGGCGAAGCGAGGTGAAGCGAGGGGTGGGGTGGAAAATTTTTCATAGGTACTGTAATTTGATCTGGTTTGGGTTGGGTTTATCCGAGGTGTGGCCGTGATAGGTAGGTTGGTTGGTTGGTAGTTCCATCAATAATGGTTGACCGATTGATTGGTTGAGTAGGAGTGGATAATCGGGATTGGAAGAGGAATCGGGATCATCATAGAGTGTTAATGCAGAAGCGGGAGAGACAGACTACCGGTACGGTACTTATTGAACATCGGATTGGATTGGATTGGATTGAATAAGATGATCCGATATTGGCATGAGGTACTGTACGTACCGTATCCATCCATCCATGCCGAAACACCAATATACAAACCGAATCCAGTCAAAAAAAAAATCCCGGATCCTTCATTTCGGGTTCTCGTTCCGACCTATGGATAGTACCGACCCAATACCCAATGCCCAATTACAATCAACCCACTTCTATCCATAATCATTTCATTTCATTTCATAGGTATGGATGAAACCTAGCCCAAGAAAAGGTTACCTAGGTACCTCCGTACCTAAGGTATCTATCTATCTATATAAAGAACCTCCATACATACCTATCCATCATCAACTAAGTTCTTACTTCTAACCAACAACCTACCCCTAGAGTACCAATATATACATATACATATACATATACATAACCTAACCCAACCTAACCTAACCAGTTCGATACCCAGGCCTGATGCCCTACCCACCTACCTACCCTACCCTACTCTCCTCCGTAACTCTCCTCCGTAACTCCGCTCCATATTCATACCTATCATACCTACCTATCTACCTCCCTATATATACAAATACCCTATCTACCTACCTATCTACCTACCTACCTACCTACCTATCTACCTACCTATCTACCTACCTACCTACCTACCTATCTACCTACCAACCTACCTACCTACCTATCTACCTATCTACCTACCTAGGTAGGTAATCAAAGCAAGTTAAAGTTATTACATTAGCAATAGCAATAGCAAGAGCAATATCATCCATTAGCAGACTTCACTCACCAACTCACTCACTCAGTTACTACCTACCTACCTACCTACCTATAGACAGAAAGAGAGAGAGGGAGAGAGCTCTGGAGCAAGTTAAGCCACAAGCCAAGTCAAAACAAAACAAGTCAAGATATTAAGATATCAAGCACGTTAAATACAAGTACAAGTACAAGTATAGAAAAATCCCTACCAGATAGATGACATTTACAAGTCACAAGTTACAACACAGCACAGCATAGCATAGTATAGCATACCTAACAATAGATTCACAAATCAGATCAAATCAAATCAAATAAAATAGATAATGATGCAAATAATAATAATGCAAATAAAAAACCCAAAAACCCAAAAACTCCATTTATATGCTTCGTATACTTGCATATATGTATAAAGTGTATAAAAGTGTATAAAGTATAAAGAAGAAGATTAGAAGAAAATCTCCTCATACTTATATCCCCGGGCCATCTTATAGAGGATCCCCCCATTTATCACCCGTCCATCCCATCCAATCCCGTCCCGTCCTATCCAATCCCATCCCATCCCATTTGAAGAAAAATGCTCGAAAAAAGTCAAAAACCCAACCCAACCCTAGACTCCGAATCCCATCCCGTCGCCACTGTTGATAATATACCTACCTATGCTTATACATTATTCCTATCCAATCCCATCCGAAGAAGACTGCGCCATCCATCCATCCATCCATCCCATTCATTTTCCAACCCTGAGATAAATAAACTTTTCATAGCCTTGTTGAAGAAATTGCCGAAATACCCAACCGATCAACCCCTTGTACGAAAACCCGGCATGATTTATGATGATTTAAGCCGACCTTTGTTTCTTTATAGGTCTCTCTGCCTCCTTTAACTCTTCATCCTCTTCATCATCCGATTCGAAATCCGCATCTGATAGTGCATCTTGTTCTTGTGCTGCAGCTATTTATTCATAAATTAGCAATTTTTTTCAGATACCTGATTGTAAGCAAGTAGTATTGCTAGTTGGGGAATCAAGGGGTAGACAAACTGAAGTATTTGATAGCACCAGGCCATAAATCCTCCGTGATAGCAATTGCAAGATCATCTCCATCAGGGAAGATTTCCAAGCTCATTCCGAAATCTTCTTCGTCTTCCTCATCTTCCTCATCTTCTTCTGGTTCTGCGACTTTCTTTCCACTTTTCCTAGCTTCTCTCTTTGCCAACTCTCTGGCATTTGCTTCTTTACTTTCCTCCTCACTAACTCTTCGACCGATAAATCCGAACCATGCGAAGAAACTTAAACCTCCCATACTTGTATTGGCCATTTTCTTCTCAAGAGCTTTGTGTTGTAGTGTCAAACCCTTAGATTTCTTTCCATCCTCTCCATTTGTTTTAGTTTTCTGTTCTGCATTCCAAGCATCACAAACTATATCCAACAAACCCCCAGTCAAATCCTTTCCCTTCTTCCAATGAATCCTCACCGGTTCACTGACCAACCCACACCAACCCCCAACACTCTTTCTATACCAAAACCTCTTGACCAATTTCTCATCTTCGAAATATTCATTCGAGGAAAATGTCCATGTAATTGATACCGATCGTGGATCTCCTCCAATGGCAGTTTTTGGATTTTCGAGTTCGAAATGCGATACGTGAAGGGAAGTGAGCGAGGAGAGAAGAAGTGCAGAATCGGATGGTTGGATATATTGATCTATATCAGGAGGTGCTTGTTCGAGGACGAGAGCCCAGAAATTTGGGATTTGAGAGATGGTCTTATTGCGACGAATGTAGAGAGGTTGAGTAAGGGAAACTTGTTGACGAACTGATAGAAAGTTGTTAGTCGATATTTATCCTCATCAAACCATGAATAGAACATTCGCAGATACTGAAAATATGCAGAACATGTATACATGTACTTCCATGGAATGTCACACAAAATGATCGATCTGATCTGGATCTGATATGATTACAGAACTCGTGGCGTAGCGCATTTGACCCCTCCAACCCAAAAATCATTTGCCTCCAACGTCATATAAGGGACCGAAAGAAAACCAAACCACGTACTAATTTCCGTTTCCACATCATCGAACTCTCTCTCAATTTCGGCCAAATCCTCGTAGGAAATAGGTGTCTCTTCTAAAGCTGCTGCCATGGCTGCGGTTGTGAATGCGAATGTCTGGCGCATAGCCAAGCTATGTTATATGAGAGAGAGAAGTCGCGCGTACAGGAAGAGAGGAGGGGAGAGGGTGCTATCGGAATAAAGTAAGGGTTTTTGTGTTCACTTTTTAAAATGAAGTTTTCTGGGAGAAAACGAAGAGAATGTCACTGATATGCTTATAGAAGGATTGGGTTCTTGGCAAGAGCTGAGTTGTATGTCACTGGGATTCGTGGACTGGTCGCAACGGGTCTTTCGGGACCGAATTGTTGTTTCTGTGGAGTTTTGGATTGAAGCTTTGAATGATTATTTGATTGAAATTGAAATTGAAATTGAAATAATGTAATAAGTGTAATAAGTGTAAATGTTACTAAATGTAAAAGGTGTTTGAAATTAAGTTTTAAAGAAGTGAAAATGTTGTAATAATATTATTGTAATATAAAAAGATAGGAGGAATGAAGTGGACGGAAATACCGAACCGAATTGATGAATATTAGTGAATTTTAAAGATGACATAGTCCAAGAGAAAAAGAAGGAAGAGAAGAAAGAAGAAAGGAAAGTCGGGTATTTATGAAGATATGAAGATATGAAGATCTACAAAGATATATATAAAAGATATAAAGGAATATGATTATTTCTCTGATTTGTTATCACTAATAGAGATAGATGATGGTACTATGTATATGAACTATCAACTTTTTGTCTCCCGTTCGTTTGTTCGTTTGTTTTCCATTCGATTTTCGATAAATTTTTGTGGGTGTGCTAAGGATCTGAGATGGTGTGGTGGCTTAATGAGGTCGCCTCAATATAAAAAAGTCTTGGTACGGATGTATATAATCTGTGAATCCGTTAATTCGTTAATCCGTTATTCCGTTATAAATCATGAAGAATTAATTGGAAGGTGTTCAAGGTTATTTCCGCACGTTATTTCCGTACATTATTTTACATTTGCCTACCTATACAGTACATTTTATTTGCGTATAATGGAAACCTTGGAATAGCTAGAGGAGCTGGAGGTCCACGTACAACACTTGATCCATCATATTATGAACATCCATCATCCATCATATTATGATCATCATCACCATCACCATCATCATCATCATCACCACCACCTTCATCTTTGAATAACCTCAACTTTGCTTACCTTACCTTACCTTCCCTTCCCTTCCCTTCCAATAATGATAGATCATGGATTACCATATCACCGGTATTCTCACATCCGTGAATCACGTTAGACTCAAACCCCAGGTCTGTGGAGTGGAGATTGACACAGAAATCGAAAATTCATTCATTCTCATTGGTCAATTGCGTTACCTAAGTAATACCTAGGTAGGTAGTTTGCGTATTATTCATGACATATGATTGAATGATTGGATGATGAAATGGAAGTGGATGTTTCCGAAGAGATCTTCCTCATGTGGGTGAGTGAGTACAATACAATTGGAATAATACTACCTACCTTCAATCAATTTTCTAAACCTAACCTAACATGAACCTTACCTAATGCCTATCCAAAATTCCAAACTTCACTCAGTAGTGGAATATTGAGTTTAGACCACGACAACATTATCTGAATAATTCTCAAGTCATCTGATCTCTCTATCTCTATCGAGTTTGGAAAATTACCTAGTACCTCCCTAGTGAGGTTAACTCATTCTTTCACTTGATTTTTGAGATCCAGATCCAGATAATACTCTACTACTCCTACACTACTACTACACTACATCCCTAGTCCCTCATAAAGTT